TGTTGATGTTTCTTCCTCTACTTTGCAAGCCAAGCTCATCTTCTTACAATCCGGTTTCCTTGATATCTATTCTACACAGAGGTTGACTAAATAAGGGGAGTGGATTTAGCCTTGTCTCCTGTCCACCCCTTTTTTTGCCAGCCTAGAGCCCATCTGCTTCTCTGTGTTCTGGCCATCCGGAAGCTTCCTGACTTCCATATCAGGTTCTCCCCAGGGCAAGATGACCTTCTGGGGTTCTCCTAACCTAGGGGTCCCCAAACTTGGCCACTTTAAGACTTGTGGACTTCAACTCCCAGAATTGGCTCCCAGAATGGGCTATGCCGGCTGGAGATTCTGGGAGTTGAAGTCCACAAGTCTTAAGTAGCCAAATTTGGAGTGTCCTAACTTAACGTCATTCCACCCCTTGACGTGATCAACCCAAATCCTTCCTATCATTGTTGAAGCTGATTGTCATTCCTTTTTGGAATCCCCTGGCTTTCTCAGTTACCCAACATGCATTGGCCATGATGTCCCACGTCCCTCAGCCTTTTCTGACGCTGATGTTCCTGATCTTCTCCATCGAAATCATGACTCTAGTTTCACAATGTTACATGTAGAAATTACATATTATGAGTTACACCTGTGGAAATGAAGAACAGAAGGGAAGCCATATTTATCCGATATTTGAATTATGCAATGATTATTGGACAGTTATATAACTATATCTAATAAACATGTACTGTTTTGTAACTTATGTTCTACAGTAAATATCAGGCTTCTGGCTAGAACATGGGCCTGTATTTTTTGGCGTAAGGAAATGTGTAGGAGATTCTAGGTTATCCTGACCCAAAAGGAACTGGTTAATTTTCTTTTTTTTTTTAAAAACAAGTTTTATTAATTTTTAAAACACACAAATTATCATTATTCATTACATGTTTAAACCTTTTTCCATTGTAAATTTAACAAGTCAGATAAATTATGATTCTGTTTTAAACCATTTCCATATAATATACCAAAACCTCTTATTCAATTTCTCTTTACTTCTCTTTACTCTTATTCAATATCATTATTATTATTTCATCTGATTCTTTCTGACTTAGTTACCATTATTCTCATTCTATATTTCTACAAGTTTTTACCAATTCTCCCCCCAAAAAAGACATATACACACAACACACAAAACATAAAAAAAATATCTTTTTGGAAAGCAACTTGGACCCAGGTGTCTCTCTCTTCATGGACTTCAATTATATTCATGCTCATCTTACATATCATTACTTATTTTATTTACCATTCTAAGCCTTCTATATTAACTTCTCCACATATTTCACACTTCTTAATTCTACCTTAATTAATCATCTTAGTTTAAATCATTATGTTTGTATCTTTTGTCCATTTTTTATCATCCCTTTGTCTCATCCCTTATGAAAAAAAAGAAAATCAGTTTCTCCTGAAATCATTAATCAGAGTATGATGCCTTTCTATCTCCCCCCTAAGTTAATCAAATTAATCTTTAAAATAATATCTAATACCCAATCAGATTTTGCTTGGTACATTCTATCTAACTAATACATCCAACACAATTAAGTGCATAATTAGACAATAAATCCAAATATTAAAAAGAAATACTATAATAAAAATTTTATAATAACATCAATACCATAATTTTATTAAACTCTTTAATTAAAACAATATTCTAAACCTCTCCTATTATTAAGTTTTAAAGCCAATCATTTTTAAACATTTTAACATTTTAATCTCTTATCAACTCTTAAACCATTGCAATACTACCATCTCATCTTATGTACCTTGCAAAATCTTTTTTTTTTTTTTTTTTAAATTATACTTTATCCATTATCCATAAAAAATTCCTTTTTTCCATTTAATTTCAAAACATTGTAGCTTTTCTCCACCTTTTCCCTTTCTTTCTTTTCCCAACAAACCTTTCTACCCCACCTTCTTCTAGCCTCTGCCTTACCGGCTTCCCTTCTCTGTCGTATTTCTTTTCCCCTTTGTTTACAATCATCATATTGGTTTTGCACTTTATTTTTCCCTTTCTTAAATGTTTTTTTAGATCTTAAGTCCTTAAATCCTTTAGTTTTCTTCTTTTCTCTTCTTTTCTTTTCTTTCTCTCTTCCTTTTTTCTGGATCAAATTCTGAGATTCATTAAAGATGGCTCCTTCCTTTCTTTCTTGTTCCTCTGCTGTCTTCATCTGTTGTAATTTTTGTTGATAATTAATAAGCGCCATTTCTAAGAAAAGGAAAGCTTCTTCCACACCATTTCTTAGTTCCTCAACAGAAAGAGCCATTATAAATCTTTTCTTTTCTTTTCTCCTTCTTTCTTCTTACAACAACCAGAATATTCAAAAGAAAATAAAAAAGATAAAACAGTCCCAAAGTTATCAATCAGTCCAAACCAAGGCAGAGTTCTCACTTTCTCCTTCTGGGGTAATATCAATCAAAGAGAAAGAAAGTCCAAATCTGTTTAAAATCTTATTACAATATATTCTAGTCTTCAAATCCTTAAGGCATCTGCTCCAGCAAATCTTAGCATACAAATATTTTCTTTTTAATCCTCTCTCTTCCCACTCATCGCTTAAAACCAATTTCCACCTAAAAAAATAGGTTTCTTAATATCCAGTTATTTATTCCGTAGGAAAAGAGGGAAAGCTATCCTTTCAGCACCTTCAAGCAGCCGCTTTTTTCCTCTTCTGGCAGGTATTATTCAGAAAGTCATACTTTTCAGGAATTTTATTAGATATGTCTTAGAGTCCTAGGAGCCAAGAAAAACTTTCTCCTCTCAATCACTTTCTCCACTTCCTCCTGCGCATTCTTACCCGGCTGCCAGCTTCTTTGTGGCGGCCATTACGGACCGCCGCTGCACCGTCCTGGGAAAAGGGAGTTCTGCCGGCCAGGGAGGGAGTCTGCAGCACCCCAAAACCCTTCTCCGGATCCCCCCTACTTCAGCTGCCCCTGCAAGGCAGCCTAGCTCCGTACCCGGCTGGGTCGGAGCCCCAAAAACGGCTAGCGCGGCAGGGATCGCGCAGCTTCGCAAATCCCTGCCGCTCGCGAAGCCGACAAACCGGAAGTCCGGAACTGGTTAATTTTCTATTGTATTACAGATGCTCATAACAGGAAGAAGAAGCCATGAGAACGCGGGTAGTTTCCAAGGACAAGGAAACAGGTGTTCCGCCACAATAATATGGGTGTGGCGTAGGGAGATACGTAGCTTGGATAGATTGTGAACCCAGGAAAGGGGCAGAGACTGTATATTTGAACCTGTATATAAACCCCAGCCTTCCTGGGAACCATGTCTTCTGCCATGAGCAGAATTCCCTTTTGCAAATGCTTCATAATAAAGCTCTTGTTCACATGTCTCCAGTTTTTTGATTATTATCACACACAACCATGTTAAAGTGGTTGAGCCAAACGTTTAGTGCAATCATTTCTGAGCACCAGCAGAGGAAAATCCTTCAGCCACTCACTTGAAATATTGGAAATGAGAGCTGAAGTAGTTCCGTTTGAGATTTCGGGACCTTTGGCCTCCTCCTGACGGAGCAAAGATGCTTCTGAATTGAGCAATGGCTTCACAGAGTTATGGGATGGGAGGTCTCTTTGTGAAGTTCCTGCTTGGGGCCAGAAGAGATCCTGGGCTCACCTGCAAAGGTGAGAACTGCAGAGGGAGGCGTCTCTTCTGGAAGTCAGCCATATTGGTTGTGCTCAGCTACATTTTTTTTTTAATCAGCCACGGATGTGAATTGGTGCATAAAATACCTGCAGCAGTTGAGAACATTCCTGCTTTCGTGGCAGGGAGGACGTGTCCCATTAAGACTGAGAAGCATCAGCCCCACAACCCCGCTCTGCTGGGCCTCAGGGGCTCCCCACTCCTCCCACCCACCCCTGAGAATCTCTCGGCATGAGCTCAGCCAGGACTGAGCCCCTCCTGCCTCTCCTTGCTGCCCCTTTCCACAGGGACTCAGAATAGAGGAGAACAGATTTGGAAGGGGCCTTGGAGGTCTTCTAGTCTACCCCCTGCTCAGGCAGGAGACCCTATATCATTCCAGGCAAGCGACTGCCCTGTCCCAGAGATGGAGCAATCACAACTTCTGAAGGCAAGTTGTTCCACTGATGGATTGTCCTCCGTGGATTCACAACTCAGACACTCTTGCCGATTCTGTGTGTGTTTCTGTGTGTGTGTTGTGCAGGCTTGTGCCATCAAGGACAGGCTGGATACTTGTGGGAAGCCCTTGGCAAGCTCCCCCTCCCCGGTGGCCTGCTGGCAAAGATACATTTTCTTTTGTGTCGTCTCCTCCCCTGCTTAGAAAAGGCACTGCTTAGTTTTTAGAACCAGAAACCTGGCTGGTGTTTTGTGCTCGGCCTCCCCAAAAAGCAATAAGTCAATTCTGAGTCCTGGCAAAAACCTCTTTTATGACATTAATGTGAATTTATTTCATTCCCAGTCAGGCAAACAGACTTGAGGAGGTAGACTAATGAGCTCAGACCTTTATCAATCCTGGGATGCTGCCCAGTAAACAGTTCCACACTCAGTGCTGACAGGGAAGGGCTGGGTTACACAGACACAAATCTTCACAAGGCTGGAACGAGCGAGGGAGCCAGTTGTTTCCTGCAAAAGCCCCCTCCCCCTTTGCTCCTCTTTTAATCCCTATGGGAGGGGCCATTCATCATCCACCTGTGGCCTTACTCCCATGTCGACCCTGGGTTCTTAATTGTGCCTTTCTTTTGGCAGCTCTGTGCATGTGCAGGCTGGGAACCGGCTCCAGAAGCTCCCCCGCCTCACTGCTGTCTGAGCCCAAAGGCAGATGCTGACTGCCAGCCTGTCCTGGCCCCACCTCTGCCTCTGATGCAGAGCCCTCGTCTGAGCCCTCCTCAGCCTCCAGGACCGGCCCGGGTTCCTCCCCAACCTCCTCACTATTGTCTGGCTCTTCTGCCGGCTCTGCCAGCGGCCAGCGGGCCACAACAGCCGGTCTGTTCGAAGGGTTAAGGACTAAGAAAGCCGGTGAAAAGTTTTTGCTTTCATTATCAAAAAAGCAGAATTGAAAAAAAGGAGCTGCCGACAATCCAAATGGGCCCCAAATGCAATATTCATTTTTCAGAAAGTCCCAGCAACCTCCGAGGCATCTCTTTGAGGGGGAGCTGATCCAGGCTTCACCTAAAGGGATTTCGGGAGAGGAGGGGGCTGAGCAGAGTCAGAGGGGATGGGTCCTTGCTCTTCCTTCTCGGGGGCTCTTGTGTGTGTGGGGTCCTGGAGAGTCATAGGGACCCAACAGCCCCCTGGATGTCACCGGTGGTGGGGACCATGGCCTTCACACCTCGCAGATGCAGTGACCGTTCTGTCCAGCCAGGGCCTCCTCCATCTCTCGCGCCCCGGGCTCCGGAGGATGGGGGGAGGCGGCCTCTGCCCAGACCAGCTGCTCATTCACGGGCTCCTTTGTGGGGGGAGAGGAAGGAGAAAGAGAATAAAGCCAGCAGTCTCCCTCGGTGCTCCTGGAGCTGTGGCTCCAACCCTTTTCTGGGCTTACCTTTGGAGCGAAATCCTTCCGGAAGATGTGAGCTATGATCCCGGCGGCCAATGCGTCGCCCAGGACGTTGGTCATGGTGCGTAACCGGTCCCTGGGGAGGGAAGCGCAGAGGAATCAACTGGGGATCCCCCCTCCCTCACAGGGGATCCCAGGAGGCAAAGTGCCCCCTTTGGAAGAAGTCCTCAAAGGAACAGCTGGAGTTTCCACATCTGGTCGGGGTCCCAAAGGGGCTTTTTTTTTCAAGAAGCAACTGGACTTTCTGGTTTTTCTTTTGAAGACGTTTCGCTTCTCCTCCAAGAAGCTTCTTCAGCTCTGACCGGATGGTGGGGAAGGGAAGGATTTATACTCCTTGCAGACCAAGCTGGTCATTTGCATCCTTTCAGAGAGTCATTGAGGCCACTTGGTGGTTTGCCTGTGTCCTCAGGGTCACCTGAGTGGTGCAAATGGGGGTGGAGCCTTCTAGGAACCGCTGAGGACATCATCTATCTCCGGTCTACAACAGGGTCCTTTCAGCAGTTCCAAGGTGATCCTCACAGATAAACCTCCAAGTGGCCTCAATGACTCACTAAAAGGATGCAAATGACCAGCTTTGTCTGCAAGGAGTATAAATCCTTCCATTCTCCTCAATCCAGTCAGAGATGAAGAAGCTTCTAAGATGAGAAGCAAAACCTCTTGAAAGGGAGAAAAGAAAAAAAACAGAAAGTCCAGCTGCCTCTTGAAAAAAGCACTTTTGGGACAGCCATGACCCGGATGACGGAGAAACTCTGTAGACATCTACTTGGGGTGTCCTCCAAGAGGCGTCAATGCTGGTTCCCACCAGGCTGGACTTTGGGGGCTTCCAGCGTGCGCGTCAAAGACCGGATCCCAAGCTTTGCACCCCTCCCTCCCCAAAGGCTCGATTCCCATGAATGCTCTTTTTCTAGCCAGGGCAGACGCTCCAGGAAGGGGCTGGATTGATTCCCCCCTCCCTGGTTCAGCACCTGCCCCGCGGGATATCTTGATTAATTGATGCCAATCTGCTCTTGGAGCAGCTCACAGCTCTGCTCTTAACACGTTCGACCCCCCAAAAAGGGCAGAAATGGCAGGCACACACCGAGAGTCGCTTGCTAGGGGATGGGTGGGGGGGGGGGGGAGAGACTCACAGGGCCCAGTCAATGGCGATGATCAGTGTGATGTCTTCGGTGGGGAGGCCGACGGAGGTGAGCACGATGACCATGGTGACAAGGCCCGATTGGGGAATCCCAGCGGCACCGATGCTGGCGGCCGTGGCTGTGATGCTGTGGGGACAGAGAGAAGCAGGGGGCTGGGAAGCCACGGGGACCTTGCCAATGCTTGTTGAGCAAGCCGCAGCTGACCGAAACACATGTAAAATTACCCCAAATATCATCATCATCTTCTTCTTCTTTTAATGACCCCATGATCCCTTGCGGGGCGGAGCCTGAGCAACTGAGTGGAGCTAGCAGAGTGTTTCATGGCTGGATGCCCTTCCTGTCACCAATGAGAAGGTTCGTTCAGCAGAGTGTCAGCTTTGAAATTCAGCTGCCACATTTTTTTTAAGGGAGTTGGAGGAGTTGAAAAGTTCAAGGTTATTCTGTACGTCGTATTAAGACATTCCAGTGGCAGTTAATTGGTTCTCGTGATTTATAAAGTGTAGAAGTGGGAGGAGAGAAGGGAGGAGAGAAGGTGGATTCTGTGTAACGCGCGAAAAATTTTCACTTTGGGAAATTGCCTTTGACATGCCAGATCTGTTTCTAAATAAATCAATTGGAGAGAAAATGTCTCAGAATGATTGATATCACAGATGCTTTCTGGATGCCTTACATTTATTTCCCAAAGTCATCTTTTATTTTTTGAAGGGGGCTTGGCTGATGCCCTGGAGTTCTTTTCCCAGAGATGGAAAAAGATCAACAATCAGCCGAAGTTGGAGATGTGCAGAGGGGAGCTTGTGGGGGCCCTCCCTCCGGAGCATTAATTGAACCTGCCAGCCCTTGTTTGGAGTGGATGATGGATGCTTTCAGGATGGCAGTAGGAGAAAGAGATTTGGGAGCTATACCGAAGCATTTCAACTCAAGAAGTTGTTATAACCCAAATGTAACCCAGCTGTCTGAAGAGAAATCTTTCTCTAGCCCCAGGCATATGGCTATTCTGCCAGATTGGAGGGAAGAGAGACAATTGGGGTCGGAATTCTCTCAAGAAGACAACCCCAAGATTTATCCTGGGAGTCCATCAAGGGCAGATTTACATCAACAGTTCCAGAATTCAAAGGTGACAGGCTTGGTCTCACAGTCTGTTTGGACGGGTGGAAGCTTGAGACCACCCATGTTCACTTACCCAAGTATCGTGAGGGACGAGGAGACTATACAGATGCCAGTTGGAGGAGGCCAGAAAGAAGCATCAACTGACAGAGGTATGTTGCAGCCCCCCAGGCAATCCCCTCATTTTCCAGAAATTTTGCCCCCTGCAGAGAGTATCCCTCCAGGGTGGGGATTTTATCCAGGCCAGGGGTGGATTCAGTGCCAATGGCAGCCAGCACCAACACAACCCTGGTCTGAAGGGGGGTTGCCCAGACAGCAGACAGCAGCCACTTCCCCTCCACCCGACCAGGGAACCAGGCCACCCCCATCTTCCTCCTGGCAACCACAATTGCAGCCCCAACTGACAGCGAGGCCACAGGGACCCCTATTCCAGAGAGGCACCACCCAGCCAGGATTCAGGGGACCTACCCAGCCTATGTACACCACCCGGCCTGTTCCTTCCATTCCGGTACAACCTGCAGGGGCCTGGCATGTGCCACCTCTGCAACCACGACCCAGGCCGGAACAAATACCCTTTGGGGCCATATTCGATGGCCACCATGACCATTTCAATTATTTCCTCACTCAAATCCAATCCCATATAGAACAATTTGGAGATCAATTCGCCACAGAGCATGATTTGGTTATGGCCATAACAAATGGGATGAATGAAGGGGATGTTTCAGACTGGGTGGCCCAACTACACAATGAACAAGCCCCTGAATTACACAATGTGAACAGATTTATTCAATTATTAAGACTCAGATTTGAAAATCCAGACAGGGTAGCAAAGAATGAAGAGAGGTTAATGGAAATGAGGCAGGGTAAGCGACCCTTGTCAGAATCCATTTGGGACTTTAGAAGGGTTGCAAGCCACCTCAGGGATTGGCCTGAAAGAATTTACACTATTTTTAAAAAAGCCATTGATCCAGTAGTAAAGAAGGCCTGTGAAATTAGGGGAATCCCAGAGACCTTACAATCGTGGTATGTCACATTGTTCAGCTTAGATTGCAGCATCAACCCACACAGGAAACCCCTTCCGGCAGCCCCAACTAAGAGAATTGTGGCGAGGGGACTGCCGACCGGACCAGCCAAAACTGCTTGTACCTGACCCACCAGGGTGCTTAAATGTTACCGATATGGCCAAGCCAGTCATAGGGCAGCAGACTGTCTGGCCCTTGCTCCTGTACCACAAGCTCCACAGTCGAAGCCTAATACAGCTGTTAAGGGTGGGAAGAATCAAGCAAGACCTCCGGGCAGGGGCGGGTTCACCAAACATCAAAGCCCCCTCTGTGTAGATGGGAGCAACGGGCCACCGGACCGACACCACGTCCCCGAGAACCCGACCTGAGAAGATGACCCAATGGTGAGTGATCCCATCATACCTTTTATAGTTAAGGTCAAATTAGTGGTACCAAACATGGGGGAGGCCGGGGAGTTAGAAGCCATCATTGATACTGGGTGTTCTAGATGTCTTATCGGACTCCCTATCGTTGAGCAATTGGGCATAAAGACTAACCCGCTAAAATGCCCAATCAGATTTGAGTAAGTGGATGGAACCTTAATTT